CTCCGCGCCCTGAGAGACTTCGGTCTGTTGGTGGTGGTTGTCGTCAGCCAGTGCGTTACCCTGCCACTAGGCCTACCTGTCCGTTCCACAGCCCTGCCCTGACACTAGCGGACTGCAAAAATGGGGTGAGGGCGCAGAATATTGATATTCCGGGCATGACTTACAATACGCTTTGACATCTCTATGCAAGCCTGACCAAAAGAATCTCTGGGTTATCCTCTCCTTTGTTTTCTCTACACCCAAGTGTCCCCCCATTATATGCCTATGGGCTAAATCCAGTACCATCCGGTGAAAGGGTTTGGGGACCACTAACTGTTCTTCCACCTCCTCCCCTTGCTTTACCACTTGATACAGCAAGTTATTTTTAAGAGCCATGTAGGGAAAAGACACCCCTACATCATTTTCAACAGGTTCCCCATCAATTATTTTAATATTTTCACGGGCTCTATTAAGTGTGGAATCTTTCAGCTGTTCCATACAAAAATCCTCTCTCCTGACCTCTAGGTCAGGCACCACATTCTGTCCACTCTCACTAGAGCCAGCGATCATCTCTTGTTCCATATCCTCAGTGTCTGGGGTTGGATCCAACTCCTCCTGCTCCCCAGCCATTACAGAGAAAGGGAAAAGATCTACGCCTTCCTCGGACACACCCATAGTTTCCACTTCCACTCTGCAGGTGTCAACTTTTGCAAAAAATAGCTGGCCCGCGCCATTTTCTGCTCCACTGGCAGCGGATCTGCAGATTCCTTCTTTAATTCCAATAGGTGTTGGGCCATCTGCTTAAGGAGCTCTCGGTCTGCTTGCTGGGCTTCATGTTGTGCTTGTTGGGCTTCCGACAACCGGCAATTCACTTCCTGTTGTGCTTGTTGAGCCTCAGAAAAGTGGCGATTCGCCTCCCGTTGTGCTGCATTGGCCTGCAGCAAGGCCCTTATAACTTCCTCCATCTTCCCACTTGCTCAGGAAGTTGCCCGCATCCTCCACCATATGTGGGGTTAGCTCAGGTGGGGGATCACCTTCCCTGGGAAAAAGGGTAGACCGCACAGCAGGCTTTCTTAAAATCTGACTGGTTGTCAGCTTTATTTACAGGTTTGCAAAATATCAAAATAAACAAAATATCAAAATAAACCCTTGCCATCCAGGCACTAACTAAACATTAGACATTTCCTCTCTCAGAGGTGAAGGGCTTCTCCCTGTCACCCAAAACAAAACAAAAGCAAACCTTTTCTTGTGGGTATAGCACACACACACACACACACACACACACAGCTCTCTCAGAATACCTCTCTGAGTCCCAGGCCACGAGCGACTCTTTTCTCCAGCCCTGCCTTTTTTATACCACCTGTTGGTGGTCATCAGTGGAGCACAAAATCCGGTCCGGAACCACCTCTGCCATTGTGGCCCCGAAAACCCAGAGTGGACTCCACCTTACACTTCACAGTATGACCTCATGCGAGGTGACACATATCATCCATCCATCACCTTGCCGTTCATACTGTCACAAATATATATATATATATATATATATATACATATACATACACTCACCGGCCACTTCCACCTTGCTAGTACCAAGTTGGACCACCTTTTGCCTTCAGAACTACCTTAATTCTTCATGGCATAGATTCAACAAGATGTTGGAAACATTCCTTAGAGATTTTGATCCATATTGACATGATAGCATGCCGTCTGCCCATTCTCCCCTGATATCAACAAGGCATTTTCGTCCACACATTTGCCACTCACTGGAAACATTCCTCAGAGATTTTGGTCCATACTGACATTTGTTACAACTGCCGCGATGGTTGTGCGTGGAAATTCCAGTAGATCAGTTTTGGAAATACTCAGACCAACCTGTCTGCCACCAACAACCATGACACATTCAAAGTCACTTAAATTCCCTTTCTTCCCCATTCTGATGCTCAGTTTGAACTTCAGCAAGTCATCTTCACGTGTAGATGTCTAAATGCATTGGGTTGCTGGCATTTGTTTGGCTGATTAGCAATTTGTGTTACCAAGCAATTGAATAGGTGTACCTAATAAAGTGGGCACCCGGCTGTGAAGCCGCAAGCTGTCACAGCCGGGTGCCCACACTGAAGATGCCGACACCAGGGAGAGAAGAAGACACCACTGGACCGAGGATCAGGTAAGTGACTGTATTTTAAAAATCAGCACTTACGGTTTTTGAAGCTGCTGACTTTTATTTTCAGCTGGAACTCCGCTTTAAGGGGCAGCTTCTTTGGACCCTGCCTGGCGCTGCTGCATTGCTGACTCGGACTCCTCCTCTCTTCTGCACAGAGTGGCCAGCCCAGTATTTTAACATGGCGGTGGGGAGGGGGGGAGTCCTGGTCAATGTTTGCTCCGTAAGACATTTCCCCCATTTTTTTGGGGAAAAAAGTGCATCTTATGGAGCGAAAAATATGGGATATATATATATATATATATATATATATATATATATATATATATATATACACATATACACTATAATCATCATAATGTGATAGCATTATTGCTCATTGACCATAACAAATGTTCAGGCTTGGTCTTAAGAAGTCCAAAAAGACAAATAAACAAAAATATATGTGGAGAAAGAAACAGGCGCATGATGCCACAACAATGCCTCCATGAATAAAGCCTGGTACACTTTAAGTTTTTTGGGTGTTTTTGTTCAACCTAGCAGACTGAATGAAAAAAAAAAAAATAAGAGATTGCTGTACTAACTAAGCAATGTTAGTGCAGCGATCTCTCCAGCTGTGCCTTTGTGTTCTAACAGGGAGGGCTCCCCCCCCCCCAGCCCCCCCCAGTCCCCCCCTTCCCGCCAGAACACACTAGTCAGCTCTTGCAGCCAGGTTTTCCTGCATGTCCCTTCGACAAAAGCCAGTCCTTACACCAGCTGCTGTTGGAAGGACAGCTGTACACATGGTTTGAATGTTTGCTATTCAGACTGCTTGTACCCAGCTTAAGTCCTGGTAGGTGAAACTATTTAGTGTGGGAGGTTCCAAGGTGGGTACCTGTTGTGGATTTGTGGAATAAATTTTGGCTGAGTGTAACATCAGTGGTGAAGTGTTTCATTTTCTGCATTAATCTTGGAGGGCAGATGGCTCCCTTGTGCTTGGCACCCAATTCTGATGGGAAATGTGGGTAGTGGAAGCTTAGAATGATCCCACATATCGAACAAAAATATGTGCCACAATTCATATCACATGATATACAGTACATAGTTTATACTAAGAAAATAACAGTCCAAGCAGAAAAAAATCCAGTATCCTTCCAGAACCTCCAGCTGCAAAATTGTTCATTCTTAACAACCCATGAAGCAGGCATTTTCTGGTGTATCACAAAAATGAACTTCTTTACTAGCAATGATTCTTTAGCCACGTAGGATCAAACATAAGGCTAAACACTTTCAGCATCTGAACAAATAGTTTTAATTTTCTGGAAGTTTTTTTGCTCCTCTGCAGAAAAATCTGGATCTAATGATATCCTTGCACTATTTATTGTAATATCATCAAGGCCCTATGCTCTCTGCAGAATAGTATCTCTGTCCTGATAAATAAATACCTTGACTGAGATTAATCTTGGCATTGCCCCAGGTGGAAGGTCTGCTTATAACATGATGAACCCTCTGTACTACAAACCCAGAGGAAAATGCATATTTCCAAACATAGAGAGAAGCCAATTCCTAATAATTTCTCTTAAACTGCCCTTTAAACTTTTTTTCAGAACTCCAGCAATTCTGATGTTATTCCGACATATTCTATTTTCAATCTAATCCATTTTATCAGTATTGTCATTGTCTTTTGCTTAAGATAATGCATATCTTGTTTTAAAGGGTAAACCACATTCGCCATGTCACTTATTGTCCCTTCTAGAGCTGAAATTCTTCCCCAATATTTTTTCCAAACATGTCTAATAAAATGTATTTTTTTCCAATTTGCATTCACCTGAATTTTTAGCAATGTAATAGAGGAATCACATTTCTTACACTAATTAAAATGTCTCTTAATGTAGGCACCTTCTCACCTTGCAATGTTCAGAAGTACATGAAGGAGTAGATGTACTTCTGAACAATGAGAGTCACCTATCCCCTCTGAAATCAATTCAGGTGTATTAGAATGGACCCGGTCTGTCCGTTTCATGGGGGAGATAGATTTCACAGATTGAATTTGAACAGTATGTAAATTCTGTGCTGCTTCCTTCACATACAAGCAAACTGCTGCAGCCTAGGCACAACCTCCTTCCCTTCTCTTTTGTAGTTTTATGGTTGTTTTGCATCTTCACAGCATCCTGTGATACTCTTATTTCTGTGCACACCTTTTCCCTTTTCTTTTTTGTTACCTTCTCTAGTAACCATAAACTCACTCTCAAATGAGTAAAAAGGTGCACCCACAGGCTGGAGCCTTCACACTGGGGTACAACCTTTGCGTGCATCACAGGAGCAGTTTCCAACCACCTTGCTGTGAATACTGTGGTTAACACAGAAGTGCTGTTTCATGTACAGCTTCAAATATTACAGTAAACAAATTAATGCAGCTTTAGTTACTCTTCTGTTGCATGTCCTCATTGTCCTGCACTGGGAGCCTCTATACCAGGGGCGGACTGACAACTCATGGGGCCCCCGGGCAATAGGGAATCATGGGACCTTTGTGTCCTTGCTGAAACTCAAAACAAGCCTATGAAAAAGGTGCCAGGGGCATCTAATGGGGCCCCCTACTGATTCCGGGCCCTCAGGCAGTGCCCGAGTTGACAACATGCCAAAATAATACAGTGCCAGCATCCCAGGTACCAGTAGTGACTACTAATAGAGCAAAAAAAATAAATCAGGCTCAGGGGAAGTCAAAGGTTATCATGTATAAATGTGAACTATAGAAATCTGCTAATTAAATCAAAGATTACTCACATTCATATCTGTACTTACTCTAGAACACCAAAGTTACTCACATTCATATCTGTACTTACTCTAGAACACCAAAGTTACTCACATTCATACTTGTACTTACTCTAGTACACCAAATGATTTCATCATGTCCTTTATATTATCCTTGTATTGAAAGAATTCACCCATATTTTCTTCTTTCTCAATAGACTCTAGAAGTGGAGTGTCTACAAAGGCTGGACACACTGTATTTATTCGAACGCCATAGTTTCCAATAGATGCAAGTGCCTGTAGAGAAGAAAAAATAACGGGAAAAAAGTTGTACTCTTAGCACTGGTTATTAGGCTTTTTTTTAAAAAAAATTTAAGATTGAGTTTGAATCAACTACAATTGTTCCAACCCATCTCCAAGGACATCTCCAGCTCCTATCCCCACCCCTGTCCAAGGAGGTAATTTCAAATGTATTATACATTAACAGCATTAACAGCTTCTGTTAACAAACATCCAAAGAGATCCCCCATTCCTGACTGCACCTTTTTTCAAGAGCATACGTCAGGTAAGTCAAGGATAAAGCGAGGCCAATGTCACAGCTGTTCCGGTGACCATTAGGACTATAATGTGATGTGGAAAAAGCATAGAAAATCAGAGCGCTCGTGGTGAAAGTCAGGAAATAAATGTAATGGCGTACATATCCAGCAGTCAATATGTATAATACAAAAGTTTAATAGACCAATAAAACCATAATCACCATGTTGAAATGTATCCATGAAGTAGTATGGTGCAAGACAAGGATTGGCACAAGCCACAGGCTGAAAGGAATGGTGGGAGTGGCTTACTTGTATGTAGATGTGGCTAGGGGAGCCTGGATGAGAACCGGAAGTGACGTCACGATGCACCAGAAATTACCTCAGTGGAATGCAGGGAAGCCAATAGCAGCCATCGTGAGCCCTCAGCAGGAAGGAGACTGATTGGATTACAACAAGTCCCGGTTACCATGACAATGCATTTCACATGATTCAGTGCTTTATCACAGTCATGATGTAATTTCCGGTATGCCGTGACGTCACTTCCGCTGCATGATCCTCGGTGACACAGAGGTTTTTTCTGGTTCCTCTTACCCCTCAAGTGGCATCTGACTTGTGGACACTATTTTTACCAGCTACTGTTGTTCACTACTCTTCCATCTGTGGACTTCACCATCCAGGCTCCCCATAGCCATATCTACATACAAGTAAGCCGCTCCCACCATTCCTTTCAGCCTGTGGCTTGTGCCAATCCTTGTCTTGCTCCATACTATTTCATGGATACATTTCAACATGGTGATTATGGTTTTATTTGTCTATTAAGCTTTTGTATTATACATATTGACTGCCGGATATGTACGCCATTGCATTTGTTTCCAGGCTTTCACCACGAGCGCTCTGATTTTCTATGCTTTTTCCACATCACATTATAGTCCTAATGGTCACCGGAACAGCTGTGACACTGGCCTTGCTTTACCCTGGACTTACCTGATGTTGGTTGTGGGATTTAGTGCCTAGTGGTCTGTCTATTTTACCTTTTTTCAAGACAGTTTCTAGTTTCTATTTCTACCCAACTCCAGTTTGTGTCCCCACCCCATTCCATGGAAAGCTCTAGTTTATGTTTTTATCTCTTTTTAAGTAGGTCTCCAGTTTATCTTCCCACCCATCTCTAAGAAAGTCTCCAGTTTCTGTACCCATCCATCTTCCAAGAAAGTTCCTGTTATCTTCCTCTTCCCAAGTAGATGTACATTTTCTGCTTTACTCCTCTGCAAGGAGTTCCTCAGTTCCTATCCCCACCCATTCCCAAGGAGGTAATTTCAAATGTATTAAATACTCAACTGAAAATCCTCCTTACATTAATTTATATTTTAGGGAACTCTTGAATGGTTAAGCTCCTCCTGGTTGTACAAAGCTAGAAGGGAATTCAATTTCACAGCTCCCACCTAAAACTGACATTTGAGTGTTAAAGTTAAATTGTATAACCTAATAAGCAATGTAATATACATGCATTGCATACAAACTATTAGCAAAATCTATAAGACCAAGGTCAGCAACGAGCTTGTCAATATGTCAGAAGAATTTAAGCTAGATATTGAGTTGTAATAGAACTCTTAATTAGGCTCACCAAAACAAGATTGCCTGAAATGTAGCATTGTAAATCATCGACTAAATTGGGCAGTATATATTACAGGGACTGATACCATGATCATGCAATATGACTTACTTTACCACCATAACATCTTTATTAGGTCCTGACAGTGCAGCATAGTGACTTTCAGGTTAATACATCTTCATACTGTATACTGACAGTAACAAATTATATTTTCTTTTTTCACTGGACATTGATTGATGGCCATGAGGCTAGTTCGCAGATTCAGTTCTTTATGGAACGCATAGGTTAAGGTCAAAGGCCAAATGTTTAAATTCCAAAACAAGAAACATGGCTACTGAAGAACAAAAAAGGACCAAAGCCTTTTTAGTATTTTTATTCCCTGACACTACAAGATCACACCAGCTCATGGGTTCAAGAGTAACATTTTGGTTGTGGACATAGACCCTCAAGTCACAAATCAATGAAGGACAATAGAGCATACTGGCAGATCAGAAACCAGCTTTGATCGGCTGTCTGAACTAAGGCAATGAAAGCTGAATTTTATTGTCATTAGGTATATGATCTTTTGTCACCTTTTATTACATGACTGCAAATCATTAAAGCCATTTAATGAAATTATTAACATTTTAAGAGTTTTGGTATCTAGGAGCAATGCAGGTTTTAGCATGCCATATGAAAGCTTACAATTGCGCCTAATGTCAGATAAGTTTTTTAGTTAACACTAAAACATTTAATGCAGTTGAAATACTAGGTATATTTGTTGGACAAGTTTGGTATTCATTAGTGACTCATTTGCAAATCCAAGTAGACTGTTTTTTTTTTGTAATTGAATCATTAGATACACATTGTGACATATGGTATTGTCTATATTGAACGATGTACAGTATGTTCATATATTATACCATTATACCATCAGTATATTATTTGTACAAATATCTCTTTCCATACACTAATTGCCTTGATCCTGCTATTCAGCATCTCAGATGATCAGCTTTTTAAATATTTCATGTTCAACATTTTTCTGATGGTTTTGATAGGATAGTCATTGCCAGTTCAAGTTTTTATCAGGACACACATCCTGTGACATCAGGCTCATTGGCAGTTGTTGTTTTTATCAAAGACAACACATCATTAAAAAGTGATTAAACGGATTTAACTAAATGGCCATTTTTTGGACATTGTTTCCTTTGTAAGGGCCGCAGGAAACTGTAGAAATCATTTGCATATGGATTTTATAACCAAGATTTACTACAGACAAAAGTGAGCTTGCTATTGTTTTTCTGTCAGGATGTGACCCTGTATAAACATCAGAAGGGTAATTTGTAGGGAATTGATCTTTCCTCTGAGCTGTACCTTGTTTCCAGAGCTAATAACTTTTCTCTGCGTTTAAACACTGTAATCATTTACTTGTACTGTGAAAGTTCCATTTTATTTGGCACAAAGCATCTAAACACAGAACAAATTGTTCCTGCTGTCGACTCTATTTGCTCATTGAATGACAATGATCACATATCCAAATTAAAAAACAAAGGAAAAGACAGGACTGGAAGGCATCAGTATTATTTCTTACATGCTGAATAAACTAGATAAGTCATTGACATCAGCATCACAAAAACTTTTATTACTAAGCAACAAGCAGCTAAGAGATTGATAAGAATTATGTAGTGTTTCAAAATACTACAGCTCAGAGCCCCCACGTGTTCCAGTCATTTTGAGGCCAATCTTTGTTTTGTCACTGCAAATCTCATTTTTTACTTTATACGGAATTTGTAACTAGATGAGTAGCGAGAGCCATGTAGCCAAAGAAAAAAAAATCTGTTAATCAGGAAAGGCTTTTAGTAAATATATTAATTATATATTTCTCCGTGTTTCCTTCTGTGCTTTCAGTCTGTGTTTAAAGCATTTAGGCAAAATGGGGCTACAAATGAAAAAGCGTCTGCAAATATATTATTTAGCATTACGAGTGTCAATCAATTAAGGTCCTGCAATTCTGAAATATCTTGATTGATGTCATGGAAAGTCCTATTGATCACTTTGATCTAATGTATGACATTTACTACTATACAGTTTTGTAAAAAAATGTCTCCTTTCAGAGTTACTGCACCATTGAAATGGTTGACTTCATACTAAGGTGAGAGTAGAGAGTTCTATTTCATGGTATTCTGCTGCATCAAATTTCTTCTTTAGCTACCGCAGAGAATAAAATGTTATGGTACAGAAATAGTTCCTAGCTTGAATCAGAACTAAGTATTAATAATTCAAATTAGGAAGATATTTTAAGCTGCTCTAAAGCAAAGCTATGCTGCTCATTGTAGTGAAGTATATGGTCTATACTTGCACCACATAATGGGAAACAATGCCCAGACAGAAGCCATTCTAGCAGCATCTTTTTATCAAACTTCTGTTCTTGAAAATCATCTGTAAAATCAGTGCTTATATGGACCAGTCAATTGATCAGCTAAAGATGTCTAATTTAGCATGACCACTATTACAATAGTAGTAACACACTGAAATAGGGACTATTTTTTATTTTCACGGCAGGCCCTAATTTGTCAGAAACCCAGCAACCTGGGGGCATTTGTCCTCTTTTCCCCTTTAAAGCACTCTCCTGTGTTCATTTGCATTGGATAATGTATTTCCATCTGGAAAGAATTTGGTGAAAATGTGCATTAAAATAGACGTATAGGTGTTCCACTAGTGAGAACACATTTATGTGAGTTTTATTGCATAGCTTGTCTCAGCTACCATGATGGAGGTGTTGAACACTTTTGTTTTTTGGTTCCAAAAGATTGTTGGGTCTTGTAGCTGGCAAAGGGATGATTTATACATGTGTGTTTTTCTGAACATCTTAAAAACCTCAAAATCCAAAAACCGCAAAGTCTGTTATAACGTGTCAAGAGATTTTATCCACATGTTCACAGCTACATTCCAAACATTCATGTGTATTATTAATCTTGGAATGAAAAAGTACTTGGCAGTAGTCAGTGAAAAATATATTGACATTTTCAGTATTATCAGTATTATGACTGCTGAATGTCTGAATGACTAGATCATTTAAAGTGATACTAAACCCACAACAGTAAAAACAGTCTGTATATGCTGTAGAGCATGCTTGTTATACTCACAGTGCAACCTAAAGGGTTAACCCTCTGCATTGTGCAAAAGCGCTGTTTGATCCTGACTTCTCTGATCCTACCCTTCTTCCAGTGTCCCATTCTTATCTCCTGATAAAACATATTGTGCGGTGTCACTCTGCAAATGCTCAGTTTGCTGTATGCTAGAGAGGTTTTCTTTTTTTGGGGGGGGGAGAGTGCATGCAATCAACACAGGGCCAATACGCACTGTCCAGGCAGAGGTCTTGGGTTCTGCATTATCCTAGAGCAGAATGAAAACTCCTTCTACAAGCTTTAACATGTGCTCTGCTGGACACTGATAGAAGTCCCAAGACTGCTACAGGTGAAACTCGAAAAATTAGAATATCGTGCAAAAGTTCATTTATTTCAGTAATGCAACTTAAAAGGTGAAACTAATATATGAGATAGACTCATTACATGCAAAGCAAGATAGTTCAAGCATTTGTCATAATTGTGATAATTATGGCTTACAGCGCATGAAAACCCCAAATCCACAATCTCCGAAAATAAGAATATTGTGAAAAGGTGCAATATTCTAGGCTCAAAGTGTCCCACTCTAATCAGCTAATTAAGCCATAAGCTTGAAAGAGCAGGGCCCTCGATCCCCTCATGTTTTGCATTGTATTGTTGTTGTTCTGTTACATGTTCTATCCCCCTTTGTAATGTATTGCTGAATTTGAATTTGCGCTTTATAAATACTGTATAATAATAATAATAACACCTGCAAAGGGTTCCTGAGACTTTAAATGGTCTCTCAGTCTGGTTCAGTAGGAATCACAATCATGGGAAAGACTGCTGACCTGACAGTTGTGCAGAAAACCATCATTGACACCCTCATTTCATAAGGAGGGAAAGCCTCAAAAGGTAATTGAAAAAGAAGTTGGATGTTCCCAAAGTGCTGTATCAAAGCACATTAATAGAAAGTTATGTGGAAGGGAAAAGTGTGGAAGAAAAAGGTGCACAAGCAGCAGGGATGACCGCAGCCTGGAGAGGATTGTCAGGAAAAGGCCATTCAAAAGTGCTGGGGACCTTCACAAGGAGTGGACTGAGGCTGGAGTCAGTGGATCAAGAGCCACCACACACAGATGGATCCTGGACATGGGCTTCAAATGTTGTATTTCTCCTGAACAACAAACAACCCCAAAAGCGTCTTACCTGGGCTAAAGAAAAACAGACCTGGTCTGTTGCTCAATGGTCCAAAGTCCTCTTTTCTGATGAGAGCAACATTTGCATCTCATTTGGAAACCAAGGACCCAGAGTATGGAGGAAGAATGGAGAGGCACACACTGCAAGATGCTTGAAGTCCAGTGTGAAGTTTCCACAGTCTGTGTTGATTTGGAGAGCCATGTCATCTGCTGGTGTTGGTCCACTGTGCCTCATTAAGTCCAAGGTCAACGCAGCCATCTACCAGGAGATTTTGGAGCACTTCATGCTTCCTTCCACAGATGAGCTTTATGGGGATGCTGACTTCATTTTCCAGAAGGACTTGGCACCTGCCCACACTGCCAAAAGCACCAAAACCTGCTTCAATGACCATGGGATTACTGCGCTTGATTGGCCAGCAAACTCGCCTGACCTGAACCCCATAGAGAATCTATGGGGCATTGCCAAGAGAAAGATGAGAGACATGAAGCCGAACAATGCAGAAGAGCTGAAGGCCGCTATTGAAGCATCCTGGTCTTCCATAACACCTCAGCAGTGCCACAGGCTGATAGCTTCCATGCCACGTCGCATTCAGGCAGTAATTGCTGCAAAAGGGGCCCAAACCAAGTACTGAGTACATATGCATGCTTATACTTTTCAGAGGTCCGATATTGTTCTATGTACAGTACAATCCTTGTTTTATTGAGTGCATGTAATATTCTAATTTTCTGAGATTGTGGATTTGGGGTTTTCATGAGCTGTAAACCATAATCATCACAATTATGACAAATCACGGCTTGAACTATCTTGCTTTGCATGTAATGAGCCTATCTCATATATTAGTTTCACCTTTTAAGTTGCATTACTGAAATAAATTAACTTTTGCACGATATTCTAATTTTTCCAGTTTCACCTGTATATACTGCTGATGAGGAAAGGTATTTAGCAGTTTACATTTACTAAAATAATTGCACCTTCATGTTGAGTGTACTGTCGGAGACCAGATATTGTGAATGCAGGGTTCTGGGTTTAGTAACACTTTAATGTTATCCCTTTTCAAATGTTTGAAGAAAGAATTATTCTATATAAATCACCGTCCATTATTCAATTATGACTCAAAAATGCACATTATATGCTAATGAAGTCTAGTAAACCCCTTCCATAACCATGTGATCATCCCTGTCTTTGAATGATAATTTATATGCTATGGTATACTCACCGCTATTGATCTTGTGAATCCAATTACCCCATGCTTTGAAGCAGAGTACACTGGTTGGTAGGCAGCAGGTGTGAGCCCTGTGATAAAGATAATAAACATCATTTTAATCAATAACTCTCTACCAAGACATGTTTATTGGTCACACTAATGCAACTGGATTATTGGTTGAATTGTTTTAGATAACCTCACCTTAAATTACTGCATTTGTTAGAATTATTTTTTTAACCAAAAAACCTTAAAGGGAACTTATAGTGTATTTCCTGTAGATACACATCCTGTGTAATCATTTTAGCCTTTACCTGAAAGTAATTATTGATATAATGCTCAAATTTTACTTGTCTGCTGACACATATTTGCATTGGGAGGATGAATGTTGTGTAGCCCTCTTTTACTTATTCTAAGTAAAAGAATAAGCACTCTAGAAAAGTCATAATTTGTTAGTGCAGCCTGATGAATTTAAACCACTTATAGACATGCAATAACAGCAATCTACTGTGGGCTTTTTCTTTATCAAGATCAGGGAACAATCTTTCATCTATTAGAAGCACTCCAACAAGGATGGTCACTAAGGGAACAATTGATCAGACAGGTTAGAATTCCTCTCCTCTTCATTGACATGGATAGCAAGTAGCCCTCTCTGTCTATGGGAATATTCACTAAGAGGGCGTGAGATTAAAGCACACCTAAACCCTTAAAAAATGTGGAAAGGAGAGTTTTTAGTAGAAAAGACTTTGCATGTAAAAGTCTCTTCCTCTTTCTCCTAGCATTTTTTTATTGTGTTCACTGCCTAAAGCACATGTGTGGTTCAGTGTGCATTCTGTAAAATGCAAAGAATGGAGCCAGGACAATGGAGCCAGCCAGGACAAAGTACTGGCAAATATGAAAGGTGAGAGAAAAAGTAAAAAGGATGTTCAAGGGTGACCTGCTGATATATATGTGTGTATATGCAAACCAACTACACAAATTAGTATTAATATAAAACCCACATATCAAATTATGTTAATCATATATTAAAAACAAAAAGTGCACACAACTCATCAATAAAAAAATATACAAAAGGATAAGCTGTCCACGGTATTAAGTTACGATTGTAGTTGGCACAATTCATGGTGAATACCGCTTTTTCAAAACATTAGGTTTAAATATGACAAGTATCCATTAAATCTCTAGGAACAAAGAACATATATAACAAACATACATGCAAAGTCAGGGGCGGACTGACCATTCAAGCACTCGGCCACTGCCCGAGGGCCCGGGTCAGTAGGGGGCCCCATAAAATGCTCCTGGTACCTTTTATAGACTTTTTTGGGTGTGCTTTGAGTGTGGGCAAGGACATGGGGGCCCCATGATCCACTATTGCCCAAGGGCCCCATGAGTTGTCAGTCCGCCCTTGTGTATAGGTATATCATTACAATAAACTATTGTACAATAAACAATAGTTTTGTACAATAAACAGTTTATTGTAATGATATACCTATGCATGTATGTTTGTTATATATGTTTTTCGTTCCTAGAGATTCAATGGATACCTGTCATATTTGAGCCTAATGTTTTGAAGAAGGGGTATTCACCCTGAAACGCGTCAACAACTATTGTAACTTAATACTATGGACAGTTTATCCTTTTGTATATCTTTTTGTTGATGAATTGTGTAAACTTTTTGTTTTTAATATGTTTAATAAAATTTGATATGTGGGTTTTATATTAAATCTATATGTGTGTAGTTGCTTTGGATATACACACATATATTGGCGGGTAACCCTTGAAAGCCCTTTCTTTACTTTTTCTATGTTATTTTGCCAGGACAAGGTAACTCCAGAGAGTAGTGGGCAAGGGCAGATCAAAAGAGGGTCAATAATGCAGAATGTGGTGCTGACCTGATGACATAAGCAGTGCTCTCTGCGTTTTTGTATGTACAGTATAGTTAGTGCAAGGTGTCATGGAGATGCCCCCTTAGTGAGGGGTGTGATGGAGGGGGTCCATGATACCTTGCACTCACAGTGTGTCCTGAGTTGCTCAGCATCATGAAACCCAGAAGTCTGAGGATATCTAGTGGTGTAAAAGAATTACTGCAAGGGATAGCTCCAGAAAGAAGGCCAGAACAGTTTTTTTTTTGTTTTAAACGCCTTTTTGAGGGACTGTTTAAAACATTACTTGAAGTTACATCTTAAGATGATCTTATGCAAAAATGATTCCCTTCCATATGTCACATGTAAATAGTTTTAATCCAGGTCTGTACGTCATAGTAGCGTCGACAAGCAGACTCCTGCCTGTAAGGTGAAAGCATTTGGATGGCTGCGCTGCTGCCGATTGCTTCCACACACCCTCAGTAACAGCGCTCCTGCCATGTATCCCATGCTTCGCTTGCCCATCTGTGGACCCAGGACAGACATGGCATGTGTTGGCAGGTGGAGGGAAGGGAGGAGAGCAGACACACATCTGCTCTTCTTCCCTCCTTGTTGCTGACCCAGAAAGTGACGTGTTTGATGTCACTCCTGGGTCTCCATGTCAGTTTCCCTGTGGAGCACAGGGGACATATCCAAGTTCTTTTAAACCCTGGATGTATCATTATAGAGAATCTGTCACAAAAAAAATCACATGGGGCACTTTTTGTCCCCTATGTTATCACAAAAAAAGTTAAGAAAAAGAAAACATATTTAAATTGTAAAAAAATAAAGTTACACCCAAGCACATAAAATCCCCCCCCCCCAAAGAAAAATGTTGAGGCCCCCCTAACCCACATTTAAGCACCTAAAAATGTAAACACATGCGTCTGGGGCATCTACGCATGTAAATAAGGGAGAATGTCACCAGCACACCGAGGATCACCAATATGGGTCCAAACGTTTTAATGAACGATCACATAGTTATAGCAAGGCAATGTTTCGGAGTCTCGCAGGACCCCTTAATCAGGCATGTGTCAAACTGTGATAGAAACTGGAGAACTATTTAAGAAAACAATCCACCAATCAGAGTGAAGTGAAAGTCCCATGATGTCATTTTCCCTCCAAAAATGCATTCAAATCAATGTAAACCAGGGGAGGACTGACAACTCATGAGGCCCCCGGGCAATAGGGGATCATGGGGCCCCTGTGTCCTTGCCCAAACTCAAAAAAGCCTATGATAAAGGTACCAGGGGCATCTCATGGGGCCCCCTGCTGACCCAGGGCCCTCGGGCAGTGCCCGAGTTTCCAAATGGTCAGTCAGCCCCTGCTGTAAACAGAAACATTACAAACTGAGAAAATAAATAAACCATAAAACAATAATCAGATTTGCATAAACTACATTCCTGGATATAAACATTGTGGTCACATGTGTATCATAGTACTCCCCGGATTGTGAAAGAGTGTCAGCTGAAAGCAGCGCTGTATTCTGGAAACAATGACCAGTAGCATATATGTCCCTGACAGAAGATAAAAACTGTTGCTAGAGATGTGGGAGTATGTCTCCTATTGTCAAGTGAGCTGCAATGAGGACACACCTACAGTGGTCCTATTGGTGCAGCGGCCGACAGTGTCATGGCGATGCATGTCACCTGCATGCACCATGCGAGTTTACTACTCACGCATGCGCTCAAAGTCATTCCTGCACCGGTCGCCGTTATCATGGAAACCCTTGATGTCAGCACGGGGCAGGACAAGGCGGAGGCAGGTGGCTGGCGTTATGGAAACACATGGCGCCGGCGCCAAACAAGCCAATGGGTGGCAGGGTTATAGAGAGGAGCTGTGAAGAAAAAAGAACAGAAAAGAAGCAGATTGAGGACCAGTTCACACCACGTGTGTTTCAGTTACTTTTCATCTGCATCCAAAGAGAAAGTAGGCTACATGGTTGTCTACATTATAGTTCACATCAGTGCTCACAGTTCCAGTGTGTTCCATCCACAGATAAAAAGCAGAACAAGATGCATCTCCTCCGTACAGAACTGCACTGGAACGTGGCAAACCGCATCAAAACGCAACGGAGCGCACCAAAAATGCACCGTAACACACATGTCCCTATCTAAATTGAAGAAAAAAAGAGGGGAGAAAATGAACTGGAATGCATAAAAACACATTGGAACGCGTAAAAAACGCATCAGAAATGCACCAGATGGGCCAAAAATGCATCAAAATGCATGAAAATGATTGCGATGCACATGACACATATCATCATGCATGAGAGCACTCATTATAGCACCACACCTGCTCCATAATGCCTAACTGATGACCTATAGGGGTCTTTTAAAGCATTGCTTATAGAATATATAGGGTACTGAAGTTTGTCACCATTTCACAGATGCCCAAAATTTAAGGTTTGACATGCTGGGTTTCTGTTTACTTGGTGCAACTTCGTCTTTTATATTTCACCAAAAATTGGGTAATTTACTGTGTTTGTGTACACTAGAATTAACTTTTGTGTGAGTCTACTGAATTTTGCATTTCCTAGACCTTTGCAGTAATATAGTGTGCCATACAAAATTGGAACTACAATTATTGTATTCTCTAGGGTGTCTGCTTTCAGAAAATATATAATATTTTGGGGGCTTATGTAATCTTCAGGTCTAAAATGATTTTTTAAACATGTGTGCAACAAACGCAGAAGAAGCTCTGACAGTGAAGTTCTCTGTTCTATCTCTGCTTAGTTGTGCACAAGATGAAGTCAGATGTATTGAAAAGCTGCTAATAGCAGTATATTAGTGATTTCAAAAGCAACTCACTAAAAAAAGTTTTAATTAGATTGCAGGTCTTCATTAAAAAAATAATATATTTATTAATAATATATTTATAGACTCCATGACAGCTGTAGCAACATGATATGCACTAAAGAATTACATGTTCATTTGCACCTTTCACACTGTACTGGTATCTCTAAACTAAAATGTAGTAATGGCTGAAGATAAGAAAACTTTCCAGTCTCTAAAAAAAATTGAGAGGAAGGAAAGGCGACTGAGTTTTCAATTTGCACTGGGGCTCAGTGGAGGAAGTGTTGTTTCTAGCTGATAAGGCATACTCAGCGTACTTAAGCTTTGAGCACTATGGCTTTTCACAAGCTGTTTTTTTTATATAGGATCACAAGAATGGTGTTATTTTGTTTATTG